ATTACCCATCATATTACTATTCAAAATCAATTCTTTCCTAAAAAATCTATCACAAACAAGCTCTAAGTAAATAAGTCAATGTCATAATAACACCAAATTTATAGTTATGATTACGTACAGTCACAAATTACACAAGGTTATAGTCACATTACAAATTTAGTTGCAAATCACACATTTTATGTCATAAATTACCAAATTAACTAGTCACAATTATTATTTTTCTCACCCCCACCACACATCTTCTATCTCATTCTTCAATCGATTTTTCCACCACCTACAACCATTACACCGTTGCAGGTAACAAGTGCTCTTCTCGTCGCCATCAAACTTTTGTAGACAAATCATAGAAGTAAATGCACTCTCCATCGCTCTCCTCTACCACCACATCTATCATACTTCTCCAGACAGCCGCAAAATTAGACACCCATGCTGCTCTCCTCCACCATCACCTCCGTCACACTCTCCAGACAATCGCAGAAGGAGATACTCATTTTCGTCGCTTTCCTCCACCATCATATTCTTCGCACTTTTTCATTCTTCCACCACGAAATCAATGTAAAAGGGATGATACCATCTCATAATAGCCAGATCTATAGTAATGCACCTCTCCATCTATCTCTTCTACTACTACCTTCATCAAACACCTCATGGCTTCCAGACTTACAATAAAACCCTTCTTCAAGCTCTCCTCCACCACCACTTCCATCACACACCTCCAGTTCTTTGCCACGAGATCGGTGGAGAATGTACAGCTGCAGCGTCATCGCCATCGAAAATGTCTTTTCTCGTTTCTTCCATTGCTACAAATTTCTACTTCATTTTGGATTGGTAGGGTTGGGTAGGGCGAGATGTGATATAATTATTTTTCCCATTTATTTATTAAACTGTTGATTGTCAAATTGGTCCATAACGGTCTAAACCAATCGATTTGTGCTAAAAAGTGGTAAATTAGATCTTCACCATGTACAAATAGTTTAATTGTTGTATGCCACATCAAAAGATACATTGAACGCCACGTAAGAACCTAATCCTAATCAACAAACCCCTCGATTTTTTTTATTCACAAAAAGCACTTGAAGGGTCAATCAATGAAAAAATACACACCGACGACTCTAGCTTACTTAAAAATGATTTTTTCGGCTATCGATATTGATTTTGATACCTTGACACGAAAGGTAGTACTTTAGTTATTAAGAGATCTGAGAATTCAACGGAGGTAATAGAGAATATAATCAAACACAATACGATTTTGTAGAAAATGTCTTAATTCAACTGATGGATTCGCAAGTATATAGAGAGTCATCCATATGCAACGACGTCGTAAAGCCACCTGTGTTTAAGTCGAGGCTAAAGTGGCTTTTTGAATAGTCTTTTCAACACTGTAAATACCCACACATAAAGGAGTATGATAGGACCACTAACCCCATCAATCACCTCAATGTATACATAGATGTCATGAACTTGTAGGTTGCACTAGATCTCATAATGTGCAAAGCCTTTCCGCAAACCCTAACTGACACTACTAGGGATTGGTTCTCATTCTCAAATTTGGCTAACAAGTTCTCTACCTTCTTTGCAAATAGTAAACACATCAAGAAGACAGCCGCATCCCTCATGCAGCTTCATCAAGGACAAAATGAACCCCTACATGATTCATGACACAGTTTAATACTGAAATGCTCAGAATACCCAACATACACATTATAGTAGCTGTCTCCGCCCTTACATATGCAATAAGTTATGAAACATTTAAAATGTCCTTGTCAAAATCCCCGTCAAAATCAGTGACTGAGCTTCTTACCCGAGGAGAAAAATACATAAACATTGAGGAAACAATGTACCCAAAGAAGACTAGCTTGACCACTGAGAGGCCAGAGTATAAGAGACAACACGAGTCAAATCCACGTTAAGACCTTGCTCGAAATAAGCAGAAGCAGGACGTACCACCGACATCATTCACACATCTGAACACCTCCAGGTCAAACATTTTGATAGAGGCGAAGGACTTCAAAGAACTTAAATGGCCCTAAAGGATACGATCCCCTTCTAACACCAGAGATAAGAGCAAGTATTGTGAGTTTAATCGAGACCATAAGCATACTACAAAACTCGTGAACGTAGAGACGATTTGAGGAAAATCATCACAGATGGTGTACTTGCTCTTGGTTACAAAGCCTCCATTTGTAAATCCAAAAGGTAAAAGTCTTCCCCCATCTTAGCAGTACAGAATTCATCAATTTTTATTAATAATTTTATCAATTTTAAATGTCGATCTAGAATACGATCATTAATGGTCATTTCTGTATATATAGGCGAGTATGAGTATATTGATGTGATAGCGGAAGGAGATTTAAGATCGAAGTTCGAAATAGGTCGATCAATAGTCTCCGTGGAATATTTTCGTCGAAAAATCGGGTCGGCTTCTCCAAATTGTTTTANCCAAGAGTTCATCCCAGTATTCAGGGAACTTTTTCATGTTAGTTATGGCAAGAGATTGTAAGAGTGGCTGTGATTTTGGTGTTTGAGCAATAGGGAGGAGTTGGTTTTGCAGAATAAGGTATGTAGCCAACTTACTTTTTATTTTTGGAGAACCTCTGGCGTATCAAGAATCCCATTTGATAAGCATTTTCACAGGGTCCAACTTCGAATATTTCCAGATTTTCACTTCGACATTGTTACTCTCCATATCAGCCTCTCTCTGAGCTTGGCTGGATGGAGGAGGGGGCTGGAGTGGGAAGGTCTGGAGGCTGATGAAGTTCTTTATTAGCACCTCATCTTCAATTATAGATACTTGGTTTTCCATGGAGGAAACGCT